ACCGGCCCCACCAATGCACTGCGTGCAGCCTGAAATGGACACACCTCTCTCACCAAATGAGGTGTGTGAGTCCTATTGTGTGTTTGCGCATACAGGGTTGTTGTGTGTGTGTGTGTGTGTGTGTGGTGTGTGTGTGTGTGTGTGTGTGTGTTGTGTGTGTGTGTGTGTTGTGTGTGTGGTATATGTGTACTTTAGTGGTCTGGGAAAGTATGAGTGGGCACCGATAGTTGGTGGTGTGTGGGGGTTGTGTGATTATGCCTGATTTAATTGTGCTGAAGGAGACTGTGTGTGTGTGTGTGTGTGGTGTGTGTGTGTGTGTGTGTGTTGTTGTAGGTGTGCGCTGTGCTGTAGCGGTGTGTGTGTGTGTGTACCCAGTCCCCAGCTGGAAAATCGAGTTGGAAGCTCCGATTATTATCATCATTTATTTACATCCGAGCTCATCGCAGAACTAATTTCATTCAACCCCACAGTTTGCAGATTATTCCTCCCCTCCGTCTCATCCTTCCTTCTCGTTATGTTATTGATTGGATTATTGTACGAATAATGAAATTATTCCCTTACATCGCTTTGTCTCGGTTTATCCGTGCTGGGCTGACTGATTGGAAACGGAGGCTGATTTAAAAACAAACAAACAGATGCAATCAGCAGAGAGCCAGATTAAAAAACACGAGGTCGGTACGAACGCCTCACCTCGACGCTAACGAGCAAAACGACTGCAAAATGTCAAGAAGACGCGCAAACACAGCAGATAATGTAAATGAGAAGAGACCCAACACGATTATAAGATGTATAAAATGGAGAGGAGGAGTGGCTCTAATGCAGCAGAGTGTGAGAATGAGAGACAGACAGAGAGAGAGAGAGAGAGAGAGCAGCCTCCAGAGTCTCTCAGTAAGAACTGGAAATGAAAATATTTGGAAAACTACAAAAAGAAACTCAGTTTGGTCCAGTTTATGTGCGAGTCCCACTAAAATCTGTCCATGGAAAGATCAGTGTGAAATATCCTAAAGAACGAGGACACTGTTGATGGAAACGTGCTGCTGATGTAGAATTTAGACTCTGAGCCACAAACCAAATAACAGGAGGTAAAGTTAGAACTTAATATCAGGGTTTCAACAGGTTACACAGAGCATTTAAAGACCATTATTAATGCAATTTAAGACCTATTTTACGTCCATACGGGCTAAAAAAGTACAAAGGATATAAAGACAAATCTGTATTGGTTTCGTGTTGTAGTTTCCAAAAAACATTTAACTTTTAACACTTTGCAACTTTATACAAGTAATGTTAACTTCATGATCATCAATATTTAAGATCTGTCAAAATCATATGAATAACAAACCTCTTCATCAAAACTGCTGATATATTCTGTAGATCAGTGGTTCCCAAACTGCAGGTTGGGACCCCTATTAGGGGGTCGCCAAAGCTTCACAGGAGGTCGCCAGGGCTTTTTGGTTTTAAGGGGTGTAAGAAAACGTTTAAAATAAACACAGTAGGCCTGTATGACAGCATTGTGTTTATTTCTAGGAAGAAAACTCAATAAAAATGTTATTTTTAGAGTTTTGATTTTTCTTTAAGACAAACTTTGAACATAAAATGTATCCAAAGAGCCGTCACTCTCTGACAAACACTGATAAAGGTCTTGCTTTAGAGCTAACAACGGCCGAGCAAAAGGGACTAATAATTGTATTAAAGTGTCCTTAAATATCAGAAAAAACTAATCTCTGATCAATATTCAAAGGAAGTAATCTGCTCAAAATTCACCCAAATCACTGGTTTTACACAAACTCCCTGCAGTTATTGTGTTCAGTGTGTCAGCTGAACAGTGAGTCAGTTGGTAGGAGGAGAGAAGGGTTGGGAACCACTGCTGTAGACGAACAGTTGCAATAAAGCTGCAGACAGTTAACTGGGTCCACAGCCTCTTAAAGCACCGCTCTGCTTTTAGCTACATGCTAAAATGCTAACAGGCTCACAATAACACTATAGCATGAAGATGAAGATGATGATATATTATATCATAACTAGATTAGAACTGTAATGGTCTAAATGCTAATATCGGTATCAGCAAATACCCAAAGGTAAACCAGGTTCCTGATGTTCCCTGTCGCCCTGACCTCTGACCCCTCTTCATCATTGATCACTGGTGATGCTGATGACTAAAAATTGATTCTGTTTTAGTTAATGAAGTAGCTCCATCCACAGCTGAACACCCATTTATCAGAAACCTCAGTCCATTTGTCCTCTTTAATAACAATAAGGACATATTAATACAGATTAAACTGCACGCTGTGAAACATGAGCAGTTTCACAGCATAAAGGGAGGAAATGTCAATATTGGGGCTCTAACTGAGACTTCCTTTGATTCATCAGTTGTTTGGTTCCGTAAAATGTAAAGGTTAAATATGTCTTTAAATCCAGATTTCTTGTTTTGTCCGATCAACAATCCGAAATGCAGAAAAATACTCGATTACAACGATATCAACTGTGGGGAAAATGTTTTGTCCTTTTTACTTAATAAACGACTATAATGACGAAACAGTCTCAAATCAATCGAAGGATTCATTCTTCCTACCTCAGTAACGATTAAATGTTCACTGTAAAAGAAAAATCATGGAAAACTCTGTAATATTCCGGCATCAAAGAAATACTGTAAAATAACAGAAAATAATACGGTAATTTCCTATAATTAAAATACATTTTACTTATAAATTCAGGTGAACACTATATATATATTTTGTATCTTTTTATGTGAAATATTTTCATTTATTAGTATTTTAGATTAGACATGTAAATTCACAGGTTATCTTTATAATTTTATTAATATTTTCATGTTTTTTAAAAAAAATACAGAAAAAAACCTGTAAAATAGACGAGAAAAACCTCGTAAACCTACAGATTTTTTCTTTTTTTACAGTGTTGAGGCTGTGGTAGTAACCATGTGGGGTCCATCTTGTTTATATCTGACAGTGAATGAAGGTGAATCAGTTGTATTGATCATTGGAGTCGGGTCAACGATCTTTTGATGAGATTTAATCCAAAAACCACTTCCTTCTACACCTCCCTCACTGCTGGTTCCTGTTTCTTATCCCTCTATCTCCTTAGAACCTCCCTCCTTTACCTCCTTACCTCTCTTTCCTCCTTCCCTCCTTTACCTCCTCCCCTCCTTTCTCTGCCATTTCCCTCTTTATTATTCTTCTGCTCCTTTGTGCCCTCTCTCTCTGCACCTTCCTCCTCTTCGTCACCCTGTCACCGTCCTCTCTCCCTCTCTCTCCCCCAGTGTCTGGGGTCAAGGCCCAGGGGAGCCAGTAGAGTCTAGCACATTTACAGGGGGGTGGCCTTGAATAGTCCTCTCAGCGGGGAGCGGTTCGCCGGCCTGGCTAGGATTTTCTAATGAGCTTGTATAAAGGAGGGGGGTAGTGTCTGAGGGGGTGAAGATGCCACATATCCTCCCCACTTTCTCCCCCTCTTTCCCCTGGTTATAGCAGATTAATTAAAAGTGCGCATCTCTCTCGTGCTCTCTCTCTCTCTCTCTCTCTCATTCTTCTCCTCCCTATTCTCCTCTCGTCTCTCTCTCTTTTATCAGTGAGAAGTTAGAGCACTTACTGTAAGCCCAGAGGGGAGGGCTCAGCGCCGGCGGGTGGGGCAGGGAAGGGGCGGTTGGAGCCTCCGGAACGATGCTGAATTAGCCAGTGGGAGTGTGGGATGGCTGCTTAGGAATTACTGCCGCCGGGTGGTTACGTTCATCGCTGATGTATTCGAGGAAAGAGATCTCGCTCACAGACAGTCAGTCCAGTCTGCCTGTCAGTCACAGCTCGGGCTCATTTCACATTCACGCCAGTTTTCTTATTTTTTTTATTTTTTTCTCGCATCTCGTCCAGTGTCGGGGTAAACTCCTGGAGCGGTCTGCCTGAACAGGACAGACTCAAAAGAGCAAGCCGTAGTAATCGAAATGAAATCCTGCAACCTGTGTGTCAAACATAAATCCTTAAATAAAAGCGTGAGCAAATAAAAATATTGTAATCAATGCTCGCCGGATGTTAATGATCGTCCTGCTGGTATCTCTGCTGCAGTCGAGCAAAACTGTTGAAGCTAATTTACCTATTGTCTTACAGTGATTCTTAATAAATGTTTTTCACATTTTCATCCCCTAAAGTGTTCCCTCTATAGCTAGTTCCTTACTGGCGATACAGTTAAGCT